AAAAGCTTCGTCATTATCGATGAAGTACTTTTACTCATCATCGTTGAGCCTTGTAAAAGATAAGTGGAATCTTTGCAGCCTCCACCACATTAAATTCGTTTCACTTGGCGTTTGAAATAATTTTTGCATGCTTCACATATTTTTTTATTTGATATTGCGGCCATGTCTCGGTTCTATATGTTTTTTATAGTTTCCCTTTTCTTATTTTTATTTTTTTGTTTAGATGTTAAAAGCTTTTTTTGCTTAGATGTTTTTAGAGTATTTTATTTATTCATTTATTTATCAAACATAATATAAAATAGCTTAAAACTAAAACTTATATATAAGTAAATACGCATGTATACAACATATTTAAATATTACATATTTAGATTACAATAATACAATAGTACAATAATACTTAAACTTTAAAAACTAGACTACCAGAAATTTATAATTAAACGACAATTATGGCAAGTTAGAATACAAAACCTTTTTTAGTTGTTGCTTATTTGTAGACAAATCAATAATTCTTTTATATTCATTAATATAGATGAACATTTTATTTATTGGTTCGTATTTACCATAATTCGTCCAATGAAAGGCCGTGTTAAATACATTTTCTGACCTGAAACGGTTACTGGTATTTAAACTAGAATCTATGATAGATTTAATTCTTGGAGAATCAATTTGGCCGTTCTTAATTTGAAGAATGAACAAGACGTCCGCAACAATTCTCCTAGATTCCAAAGAATTCAAGTTTAAAAGTTTAAGCCTATTATTGAAGGTGATAAATTCAAGGGATCTTCCCAGTTTAAACTGCGTAAAGCAAATCTGATAAATTTTTTCTGGACTGCTTTAATTCTTTTTATATGTAATAGGTAGTGGGATGACCAAACTTGACATGCATATTCAAGATTGGAGCGAACCAATGACATATAAATTCTTTACCCCATCTCTTTATAAAAGCAAGCATTGAATTGGCTTTATTATGGTATTTAATGAGGCCTAAAAGTCAATTTGTCACCGAAGATAACACCGAAATCGCGAAATAACATCATTTATCGGTATAATAAACAACAAAGAACCCAAATGACTACCCTGAGGAACCCCAGAATTAGCAACAAACGGATTTGAGGCGCAGGATCTGAGTGAGACATAGTACTAATCCAATCCAACAAATTTGAAGGGAAACCAAATTTGCTCAATTTATATAAAATTACACTATGTGGTAATAGGTCAAATTCTTTTAACAAATCTGTGTAAATGACATCTGTTTGAAAACCGGACTCCATGACATTTAAATAAAAGGAAGTCGCATCCACTAAAATACTTGTAGTGGACCGTTTCTTAACAAGGTTTAAACATTGGTCATAAAGGAAATCAAAGATCATTAGTTCAAATAATTTAGGAATGGACGATAACTTGGCAATTGGCCGATAATTAGTCACATCATTTTTAAGTCCTTTTTTATGAACAGGTCCAATAAAGGACTCCTTCCATAACTGTGGGATATGACCACGAGAAAGTGAATGAGTAAATAAAATAGATAGTAGACCTGCTAAATAGAGAGAACAATTTTTAAGTATCACTTTAGGCACATTATCATGCGAAGGAGAAAAATCTGCCTCAAGCATTTCCAAATATTTTTTTACTCGAGAAATTGAAAAATCTATTGATGAAATCGGCAATATTCGAAAGTTATGTAAACGACTAAAATTATTGCAATCAACTTCAAAAATATTACTACCATAAGAGCTGGAAAAAAATTCACGAAAGAAGTTTGTTATATCAAGTGAGTTATTAGACGAGACGCCCATATAATTCATAAAAGATGGATATTGATCGCATTTTCTTTTTGAATTAACGAAATTCCAAAAAGATTTCGGATTATTTTTGATTTGATATCCCATATTAGTAAGGTAATTGTCATATTTTGACTGAAGATTAACCTTGTATATATTAAAGAGATAAGCAAATTTATTATAATTGTATCCATTTTTATGTTTTAAATACAAATTCCATGCTCTATTTTTTTTATTCCTCAATTTTCTTAAATCTTTGTAAAACCACGATGAGGAAGAATTTACACACCGATCACGTATAGTAGGCGTAAATTCATTAAAAGCGTGATTAAGAATTTGATAAAAAATACTAACCATCTGCTCAAGATCTAAGTTTGAAAAAAGAGAGCTGAAGTCGATTGAACGGAGATAATTATTTAAAGCCATAAAGTTAGTTTTAGAAAAGTTAAATTTGTAATTTGCTTCCAACAAAATTTCAGTTTTATTTTCATAAAAGTAAGAACAACAAATTGGTGGGTAATAGTTATCAATTTTGACTAAAGGTAAACTACAATCAAGAGATATTAAATTACACCAGTAGGAAGAAAAAACTAAATCCAATTGCTTATTCTGATAATTTAGTTTATTAGAAATTTGTTGAAGGCCATTAGCGTTACAGCTGTCAATTAGAACTGCTTCGGAATCATTTACTATTTGGTTAGGAATTAATCCTCATCATCAGGGATCCAGAAAATATTTGGAAGATTAAAATCCCCAAATAATAATATTTCATCAGCTTAATTCATGAGAGAAATAATATAATCAATAGCTAGGCATAGATTCTCATTGACATTAAAAGCAAAATTTGGAGGGATGTAGCAATTTATTATGAAGATATTCTTGTAAGTTAGCTCAATTTTTACAGTAACAATTTCCAAAATTGAAAATTGATCTAGGTTAACTTGATCGACATTAAACTTATTTTTGACTGAAATCAGAACTCCACCGTCTTTCGCGATTACTGCTCCATTTGCTGGATCATTTGGTGAATCGTATCTGTCTTTTCTATATACAGCGCAATTTTTCCCAAACAATTCAAGAGAGCTAATCGTATGACAGAGCCAAGTTTCCGTCAAAATAAAGAAATCGCAATCAAGGATAGCTGAATTCACAAAAACTTTAGAGGTTTTTGAACACAGACCTCTAACATTTTGATAATAAATTGAAACAGAGTTGGGTCGGAAATTCAAGTTCGAACAGTTGCTAGAAGAAGAATTTACATTAACAGGAACGAAAATATTTACTATGTTTTTCTCGGCTTAGTTGCAGATGATTTAATCTTCGGTTAGCGACATGACCACGGTAAGTTTTCAAATCAGCTTCAACGTCTTTTGAGGTCATACCTATCTCTTCGTGAAATTTAATATATATATTTTTTAAGCTCTGAAGGTCATATGGCAGTCCCTCTTGACGTATCAACGCCTTAATATTTGTTCTCGATTTCCCATCAACACAATTATGATCTGGAAAAGGGAAACGTCAAGAAAAGAGAAGCGACACAAATATGGCATAATGCATGAATTTTGCCATTATCGTAAATCGGAATGGTTTTGTGTTTTATTTTGACCTATAATTGAAATTATTAGTTACAAAAATTTAGTTAAATGGCGTTAATTTGAAATGCAAGTTTTTTTAATTTAATAAAGAATAAAGTTGGGTCAAACCAATGGTTTGTATTGTAGCACTTTTCCATTCAACAAGTGAAAATTCTGCTTTTAAATACAGTCTATGTATACCTATCCCACTATTAAAATTATTTTCATTCATATTTAACTATTTCTAGGATTGCATATATTTAGGATGATGCATTCATGCAGTCTAATAAATAAAGCAAAAATTAATATAAAGAGGGGTTAACATAATGCTCGATTTTAAGGGTTAATTGTGTGAGTTAAGAAAAATAATTATATTTTTTAATGTCATGGAATTTACCGTTAGCTTTTTATGTTTATGGAAATTTGAAAACGTTTGCGGTTTCGGAAATATAAGGCGCCAAAAATTCAAATTTTACAAATTTCAAGAAGTGATAACTTGAGAGGGGGTGGAGATGGAAAAAAATTTTCTTCTAATGAAATGAACTATTTGTTAATGTCTATAAGTCCCTAAAATTTCAAGGTTCTACAGGCTGGGGTCTAGAAGAAAAACGAAATCGAAAATTTGGGAAAAAAGGATTTTAGATAACGGTAAATTTGAACGGCCATTTTGTTTTTCTAAAGTTTAGCTGTAGTATACCGCGCTAGGGGAAGCAAGCCGCTGCCTTTATGCGTTTGCAAAATTTCAAAAATGCTTATGGTTTCATTACAACAAATAGTTAAAAAAGGCCATTTTTATGGTTTTGGGGGGTATAACTTCTAGAGGGGGGGGGAGATAGGTAAAAATTTTGTTCTACGAAAATAAGTTTCTGGTAAAGATCTATATACATACAAAATTTCAGCTTTCTATCTTCATGGGTGTAGAAGTTTTGTAAACAGACACACGGACAGACGGACGGATGGACGGACGGACAGAGTGAAACTAATAAGCACTTTTTTTCAAAAATTTTTTGGAAAAGTGCTAAAAATAGATGTAAAATATAATTAGTTTTTGTTTTTAAAACTTAGACTTTTGCAATTAGATTCGTAAACAAAATGGCAAGTGAATAAAAAGTATACGAAAATAGTATTCTGTAGTACAACTTTTGATTCTTTCACATACGCAAATTTGTAATATTCGATTTACATACTGTCGAAATTTTAGACGCAAGAGCCACTTAGCGAAATAACACTACGTAGTAGCCCACCAGTTTTACTAGTTTTAGGAAGTTTAATCAAAAGAGTAGAGGTGTGTTTTAAGTTGAGTTAAAATGTCCTATTATAGGTCTACGAGAATTCGAGTCTCTTAATGATTTTAAAAATATTCTCTTTTCATCTTTCTGCTTTTGTGAGAATATTTTGCAAATTAAAGTTATTTTACACAGCAAGTTGCCCTCTATATTGTAGAGCACTCTGGTAAAAAATATATCAAAATTTTTCTATGTTTTCAAAATTGAATTATTTGATGTACTTGATGCCAAAGAAAGTCAATAGAGAATACATTAATAATTTTAGTTTCATAATTTTGTTTAAAAAACTTATAAAAACAAAATTTGAATGCAAACACAATTTAAGTAATTTTTTTTTATTATAATATACATATAGTAGTATTACGATGTAAGTGTCATATAATTTTTTATACGGTAAATACAACGTTTCAAACAAACAAATTTTATCCGAATAATGTAAAAAATACAAAACAGTGTAAACGAACGACTGCAACGTATTCTGAAAGCGGTTTCTTTTGATGAAATTTAGTCTCAGTTTTTAAAAAATATTCAACCAAATATCCTTTCGAAAAAATATTTTGCTGGCATACATTTTACTCTTGAATATCTTTGAACTTCCATTAGTAATATGCCGCAGAAGTTCAAATATAAAGAAAAAGAATTTTTCATTAAACACATATATTTTAAATACATATTACATAATATTTTAAAATTGCATGTTGCTCTAATAATTTAATCATAGTTTTTCCACATTGTTGGCATAAAAAGTTATATCTGAATCTTGATGCAAATGTTCAGTATTATCAGACGGACCAAATGAACTCAGTTTTGCTGTAGAAATTATTTGCTTACATTCGGAAAAAGAAATTGCTGCTGCTCCTTCCGCCAGTGCTTTTTCGTCTACATTAGGTATTTGAATAACTTGAGCAATATTTACATTGCCTTTAGGGTTTGAAAACCCATAACACATATTGAGATCATCCCTATCTCTTGCTAAATGCATTTTCATTGAAGGGAACGAATAGGATATTGGAACTCTTATTGTTTGTTGAGTAACCTAAAATGAGAACAAAAAGTTAATAATATTCAACTATAAAAAAAACTAAATTTTAAATTTCTTAGAAGTTGGAGATAATTTAAGAACTTCTTTTGTGTTCTATAATTTTTGTATCTGGGCATTGATTTAAATTTTTTATGATTCCGTAGTACATTAACAAATCCCATCATTGTTTCAAATTTTGTGAACAAAACTAGTCTAACTTACTCTATCATGTTTTTGTATTCGTTAAGAAAGGTGAAACAAGAAGTCTCGTTCGTGTCAGCTGTTTATCCAAACTCTTCCCCTTATAAGTCAAAAGGCCTCGAAATTTACATGTTGTTTCAAACGTTCTTAGATATTTCGCTGTGGTATGAATTGATACTCTAGAACCATTCAAATTCAATCGTGGTATATCTACTAATTTTTCTTCTACAAGATTAACCGATTAGTGTCAAGGATTCTCGGGATTTGTCCCCAGAAGAGTTCTGAAACCAAAAAATAATAAGCCCCTTCGTAACCTTCGTTTCCCATATATCACATCATTCCAAAATCCCCTGGGCCGAATTAAGATGTTATACGACCGGTTCCGAACTTCAGCTTGGCTGGGGCTCCAGATAAATAGCGCAGTTGCAAACGGAGTGTCCGTTCTTCGGACCGATGAACGATCGGCTTTTACACGAAGACCTTGAAGAAGTGGATGGCATCTGATCGAGAGCAAGGCTTGTAGCAAAGGATCAAATCCTAAGCCGCAAGCTCGTTCTTGGTTTCCGGCGGGGACATTAAACCCAGAAACGATCCTGGAGATGATAAGGCTTGGCAACCGAAACCTGCCAACAAAAACTAGAGGTCAAGAAGGGAGATTATAGACAGGCCCTGATTATCCTCAACAAAGAGTCGCTGGCGTACTTCGAAAAGCAGGTCTTCGTCATCAACTACGGGTTCGGTTTGATAACACTCAAGGTATGTGTGATAGTGCACCTTGATAGATAAGTATGATCGAAGCCGTGCGAGCCAGAGAAGGATACTAACGTAGGGGAGCCCGCAACATGGGCGTCACTATACTTGTCCACGACTCTCAGGACCGTATATCCACTTGAAATTTGAGGAAGCTAAAGGAACACATTAGATCCTAATGGAGCCGTTGGAGCCGGCCTGATCATTGCGCGTGAAGGTAACACACATTACACTACCCGGGGAAGCTCAAGCACATATATAAGGGGTGAGTTACTTTTAGAATTTTTCTTGAATACTAAATTTAGCATACGCAACGAGGGCTCGGAGCCGACTTTCATTACTAAAAATCAGAAAGAGGTTGTAGATATATTCCTTGCATCTCAACCAATCTTTGGGATGGTCACTAATTGGAAAGTCTCGCAAGATCATTTCTTTTCTGACCGTCGGTATATATACTTTTAATTCACTATTCAGCAGAACCATATACGGACCTTTAGAAATCACAAAAGAACGGATTGGTTAAAATACAGAGACTCGCTAAGCGATCTCCTGAGGTTCGACGCTCCAGCCTGTCATATTACGATCAGAGAGCAGGAGGGGCTGGTTGGCACGCTCCCGGAGCCTATGAAAAATGCTTTCAGTTTGGTATGTCGTTTTATTCGACTAATAGGAAAACGAAAACCGCTATGGTAGACCATAGAGTTGGGGGCCCTACGACTGCATTAAACAGAGTAAAGTAAACCAGAGAATCGAGCGACTGAGACGCATATAAGGGTAACCTCAAGGCGTACAAAAGTGATCTGAAGAAGGCGCAAAGACTTTCCTGGAAGGCATTCTTCGCAGAAATTGGCAAGCGACACAGTCGTGCCAAGTTGCCTGTTGGCTCTTGGTCATCAGCCTTGTTGACAACAACTTTTCAAAGCCCTTTGGTATCATTAGTAACAGAGAAATTGCCGTGTAGGACTTTGCCTCATTCAAGGGTTTACCCGGTTATCACATTATAATAATTTCCGCTACTTTCCAAGTAGTAAGATCGTACCTTAGATTCACTTCTACATTTATCACTTTTTCAAAAATGCTAATACCTTTCTTGACAATTATGTTACTTCCGCAACATTAATGAGATCAAATCCTGGGCTCTTATCCGATTTAAACGATTTATTGAATGGAAAATAGTTTTTATGTAAACAAAAAGATAATGCTTTCATCCATTGCAAAATCTTTTACTAAACAAGCACTAGAATTAATTTCATTTGGTTGAAAAATTGCTTCTAAGTGTTATGCTTGTCAAAATGTATCCCCATTGCTTTTTGCCCATGATCCATCTATTTTTTTTTTTTGTGGGATTCCCTGTATCGGTTTCTTAGTACCCACAAGTACTGGTTTCTTTATTTGTGCTTAGTACTCGTTTTTTTATTTGTCGATAAGCCTTTTATATAATTCTAGTATAATACTGATTTAAGAATTTTCTATTTATCTTTCTAGTCACCAGTTTGCACTATTAAATCAGGTACAGTCTAAGGATAATTACTTGATACAGATTTGAATTCAGAGAATCTTGTATTTTCTAGACGGCTTTCTGTATCAATTTAATAAAACCTTCCACTTCAGCATATAGTTGATCTCTATTCTGCAGTTCAAAATTGGGGTTGATATTTCTAATAGCATCATGCTTGAAGACTACGCAATTTGTGGTTTTGTTGACTGTTTCCGCACTAAAGTTTAATATGACAGTAGAGTGATCGAGATTTAAATTAAAATCCTCTTCCAAATTCAAAAAATTTACCAAAATTCTTTTAAATATGAAAAGTCAACAAAATTCTGGGCTTTTTTGCCATCCAGTAGGCCAATAAGCCGGACTTTTAGTAGAATGTTCGGAATATCCCAACTACCGAATAGCTTTCTCTACTTCTCTACCCTTAGCTGAGGTCAAGTAAACACTCTATAAAAATAATATGTTTCAATAAAATTTTATTAACACGCGCAGCAAACATTTTGTGCGTGTCTACAAAATTTACACATATTGCAATTTAATATAATTTTTATTAAACAGCTATTACAAAATAACAATGTCAGCAAACACTTTTAAAAATCTTCCTAACACGTTGGATGGGAATAGTTCAAAACTATATTGAAGAAGATTATTCCACTTTTTGTGTCGCTTCAGAAAGGAAAACTCATCTTGCGGGTTATGAGAATTAATAAAAAGATTTTGAATAAAGTATATAAAAAGAACATAAGTTTTTTTTTCAATCGTTTTTATAACGCAAATACTATTACAAATATATAAGAGGTAGGATGTAAAAAGAAAAAAAAAGAAAACAACTGAAAGGCTTTTGTTTTTTAATTAAATGGAATTAAAATTATTGTTTTTTCTTACTGATAAGAAGATATTGACCTTCTTGTTAATACATTGTAAATTTAAAACAAATTAAGAATAACAAAGTAAAAATAACTGAACCAAGGCTATTGTTGATTGATCCATTCAAGTATTTTGGAACGTGTGCCGGAATTTAGTTGTTAATTCGGTAATTACACAATTTCTGGGATGAAATTAAAAATATAGTGAAATGCAACTTTAGCAACAGATTATATGTTGATCAACTTTTCGACAAGCTAAGAAGCCAAGTCTTTTAATGCAGTAGATTTTTACAACAAACAGTAGATTTTTACAACGGCATTAAAGCAATACTTCGTAGATTGAACTTGAAAACTCAATTACAATTTCAAAGTGACCAAGTTAACTTAACACGACATGTGAATGCCAATACCAGTAGTGCTCCAAATGTGTTTAAAAATAAAATAACCGAACCATTAAATAAGGAATATCTCGAAAACGCGACGCAAAGCGAGTCAGGATATGCATTCTTCAATTATTCAGCAATAATGGTAGAAATACTAAGAATTTGAACAACCAGCATAGCAATAACTTTAGAAGTGGCAAATGTTAATGTTAATCTTTCAAAAAAGGAAATTTCATAACAATACAAATAATACCAATTCGGGCCTTTCAAATGGCACTCATAACTCAAGTGTGTTTCGTAATGATAACAATTTTCCTAATTTTACAACCCGAAATTTATACATTAATAATTCTGGAAATTCAAATAGTAACACACAAAAAAAATCAATATCGAAATTCAAACCACAATATTCTAATTCTCAAAATAATACCTCTCATTCCCAAAATAATACACATGGTGAGCCAATGGATATAAATAATGGAGAAATTCTTGATGCTGGCTGCATAACACTCCCAAAAATTTCCAACGTAAAAATATTTGTTTAAAGAATAAGTATTTGTTTTATTCCAACATAAAAGTTTTTTATTTTGCATAAAAATTAAATTCCTGGTGGACACTGGTGTTTCAGACCCCATATTCCGACCAGATATATTCCAAGAAATTTCAAAAATTCAACTAAAACATCCTAAAATATTAAGATCGTTTAGAAGGGAAACAATAACAAAAGAGGCCGTTTAATATATTTGTTGAATTTGAACCGAGTCGTGCTCGTCGTTTACAACTTTTATGAAACTTATTACGGGTATATTTGAAATGAAATCATTTCCAAATTCCTTGCTAAAGCCGCGTTATTTAAATTGCTAAATAAAATTTTTAAAGTTTTTTTCCTGAGTTTATCTTAGCTGTCTTTCTATATCTTTTTTATTAGATAAGTCCTTTAAAATTAAGCATTAATTCACGATTTATTTAGTTTTCAATTTCATAATTATTATTTGTTAATTCTAATGTTGCACAAATCATACAAATATTCCAATTCACTTTTCTATAAACATAAAACTATCGAACTTTTTCTTAAACGTAAAAAATTTTACGTTTATGTTAATCACAATCAATCGATTAATCACAAATTCGAAGGCTTTTCAAAATATTAATTTATCCTGCAGACCTTGCAAATAATTGCTAGATTTTCTGACTGCTAATAATTGCTTAATTGTTTTAGCTGTTTAAAAACTAGAAATAACATAAACATTTGAAGGTTATGCACAAGTTGTTATATTAATTTGCTAAAATTATAAAATGACTCGGGAATAAATAAGATAC